GGTATGGGCCTAGGAATTGTGGGCTTGGAAATTGTGGGCTAGGTCCAAAATTAGGCCTAAAAGTGGGTTGCTCGAGCCCAAGTTCTATCACTTCCCCGCGAACAAGACTAAAAATATGATCTCAATTATTAATTAGTCCTACTATTCAAATAATTATTAAAATAAAACTAATCATTAAAACAAATCTATTTTTGGTATTTTCAAATATTATATTAAAAGAAAAATACGATACCTTTTTTGTATATTTTTTGGATTAAAAATGACTACAAAACCTTTATGAACCTATTTTTGTAAATTTTGTTTTCTTGTAATAAAATAGAGTAAAAGAGTCAAAATTACTTAAAATATCTATATTATGCCTAAATTAAATATTTTACGCTAATATATAAAAAAATCTTGGGGGGGTCAAAAATTACATGTCTGCAACAGCCCTAAATGCATCATCTGTTGTTTCTCCATAACTTTGACGATTCTGAAGTTCAGACAATGGAAAGGAATATTATTAAGCATCATTTACAAGTCAAGATAGATTAAATGTGGGGTCTTGTTTCTAACTTAAAAATAAAGTTTTTGAGCGCTAGAAATCAAGTATTCAGGAATTCCAAAATGATTTAGATAGAAACCAATAAAACTAAAACTTAAGAAGTTTAATAAAAAACCTGATAAATTCACAAACCAAAATGAGAATGTAATATGTGCAGGGTGCACAATGGTAACCTGCTCATTATACAATAGCTCACAAACAAAAATTATACAAATACAATAGGCCACCAACTAATACAAAACTGATCTCCCACTTATCAACTAACTCCTCTAAAAAATTCATATACTATATATTCCCAATTTTCCATAACACTTCTTTTGCACCAGAAATATAGATATAGCAAACAATTATTTTTTATTCGGGAAATATGTTACCTTCTTTCTTCAAAGCAGACCCTATTTTTCCCCAACCATATTGTCCATAAACATATAGGGAAATTATTCTCCACACAGCTAATTGACTCTTAGCCATATTTTGAAGTTGCCAAATTTTTAGTAAGCTTTTCACATTTGAGGGCAATAACATCCGACTCCATACATATTTAAAAGAAAGAGCTCCTAGTATTATTTTGCCACTTTGCAATGAATAAAAAGGTTATTAGACTTATGATATAGGGACAGTTCTAATTATTTCTAGTGAGACTTCTGCATTTTATTCTGACTAGTTGGGCTGGAGCTATAATAGTAAGTTTTAAGTTTAAAAGTTGATCTTCACAGCTTATGTTTTTTGTATACATTAGTTTTTATAAAAGTTTGTATGCAACAACTCAATTTTATAGCTCTCTTTGTGACTCAATCTGTCGACTACTGTGGGATAGTGCTTATATTTGGTGTAAATTCCACATGTGTGTGCTTTTTTGTTTTTTAATATGTCATCTCTTGGTAATTGTGCCAATGTGAGCTTCACAAACAATAGTCCATCTCATGTGCAGAGAAATGAGGAGGATTACGGTATGTGAGACTTCCTGATATCAGCATTACCTACCCACATGAATTTATTTCTTATAACATTCAATTTGTTTTCTCTATTTTTGCTGGCATTTTAAGAAAGGGACATCTTTGTTTCACAATAACTTTTCAGTTTTGTGACCTTGTGAATTTCTTTAAGAATGCATGATTTTAATTAAAAAGCTAAAACTTTAAGAAACATATTTAGTTAAAGCGAGGGGAGATATAATAACAAGATCTTAGCTTGCCGCATTGCTTATTATTGCAATTTGAGTATCTGTTTGAACTTCTTTTCCTTTCTTTGTACTAGTTGCAATAAATATTTCGGACTTTGATGGTTCCTCATTGTTCTCTTTGCTTGCGCGCTGCAAATTACATCAAAAGAAAGTAAAAAGTAAACATCAATGTGTTCCGACAAAATACAAAAAGAAATGGAAGTCAGATTATTTACAAAGTGTCAACTAAATATTACCAATGCTACGCGTATTCTTGCAAAATTAATAGGTCCCATTCGATGCCTCCACTTTTGTTTTTTTCTATTTTCAGAATTTAGTTGGCACATGGCCTAGAACCAAAAAAAGTATATTAATTAATAAATCATAAAGGAAAAAATATATAATGCATCAATATGTTAAAGTATAGAAATGCACAATTTAATCTCACTTGGATATTTGAATCTTTCCAGTACTCAAGCAATTGGCGGAATTGAATTTCTGGTATCTCATTCTGACGATTTTGTAGCATATCTTCAACAATAGCATTCTTATTGAAATGTTTCTTCTTAATATTTCTCTTGTGCCGCCTACGGGCATCACGGAGACCAGCCATTATCCACTTCTCTCCTTCTGCTGGAATTAAGAACTTGGACTATGCAAAATAACGTATATTTATCTTCACCTAGTAAGAAACATACAAAAAAATATAGAATGGAAAAACCGATTGTTCTTACGTTGACATATTCCCACATTCGTTGCTTAATATCCTTTGACACAGCATGCCAACTAGTATGCATTAAGGTGATAAATCTAGGATTCCTTGCAATTGTTCCTATAAAGTTGGTCAAATCAGACACTCTCTTGTCAGTTGGTCCCACTGTCTGTCCTTTATCAAATGTTACCTCATCTCTTTCTTCAAAACTTCTTACATGAATATTCTTACATGTTGTTTATCCTTGAACTCTTTTCTTTTCTGACGTCCCTAGATTGATGTAATAGCAAAGACATAAAAAAAATACAATATATAAAAAAGTTATAAAATTTACGACATACCATATGCAGCACAATCAATGTTCACGTCCTCATCTCTAACAAACTCATCGTCACCAACTTCTGCTTGTGCAACAAAATTTTCTAATTCTATTTCATGCTCATCTATTGGGTGAATATCAGGACGTTTTTCACCACCAACGTGTATCCCATACTTTTCCAGAAATTGATTATGACTCGTCGACGGTAGGACCGATTTTTTTTTTTTTTTACCTTTTTGCAATTTGTATTTCCCGAATATCAAGTTGTCTCTGTCTTTCACCTTGTGTTCTAATCATACGTGAAGTATTAGGATCTTTCTTTGAAAATGATGGGAGCATGGATGTGTGCACATGTAATTTACTCATTCCCTATTTTTGAATGAGATCCTACAATTGAGTTAACATCTGCTTACTCTGTCCTTTTATTTCTATGTTATGTGAAGTATTCAGATCTTCCCTTGAAGGCGATTGGATCATTGATCTGTACATAGGCAATTTACTGCTTCCTAACTTCTGAACTGACTCATCGGGTATTTTTTTAACATTTGTCTTCTTTGTCCTTCTGATGTTGCAGGCATATGACTCTTTCTTTTAACTCCAAGTGGTGCCTGCTCTTTCATAGCTTTATCTTTGTGATCATTTGCAAGCTTTTCTCTCTTAATCCGAAATTTTTTGGCCAATTCGGCACTTGATCGATATTGAAAATCAAAACCTATATTCTTCATTGGACTCTGAACTTTGTTTGGATTCGAAACTTTTTTCTTTAGAGCTGCTGCTTGATTCATTCTTCAAACAAAGAAAAAAAATTATTTTAACCCAGGAACTAGTAGGAATACATAACTCTATACTGAAAATAGACATTTAAGACCAAGCTATCATGAAAATATACAAAGTCCAGCAAAAAAATTAGACAAAATTATTTAAACTAAAAACTATCAGAAAAGCACTTTACCAAAAAGGTTCAGCAAAATTCAAGATTGACCCAATTTTTGAAACTTCTTCATTTCTTCAATACAATATGACCAAAAGAAAGAAAAAAATACTCTTTTCTCAAATACCATGTTCTTTGTAATTGTGCTATGTAAATTACTGAAATTTGCTCAAGAATCTAAGAAACAGCTAAGCAAGAAAGATGTGTTTTAGTACAGTTAATGTTCTGTTAGAATATAATCTAAAACAGACTAAATCAATGCCCTCTTACCCCAAAACAGGATTCCTAAGTCCTTGGCAATCAAGTAATTACAACCTTCCAGTTTTTTTTTATTGCAATAGAATGACATTTAAACATGACTAATATTGATGGTATATTCTTTGAATAATTACTACTTAAGCTTTAAAGAACAGAAAAAGATAAACTAGTTGTAGCATAACGTTGGTATAGTCTTTGAATAGTTACTAGTTGTCATCTAGCTCTAAGGATATTAACTAAAATAAATCTTGAGCGACGACTATAAAATGTCCATAGAACAACAAGAAATTATTATCCAGTTACAAAAACAAATAGCTATACTTCCTAAAATAAACAGAGTTACAGAGATACCTGTGCAGTATCTATTTGCCTCCTCAAGAATTATTAGTCAACAATTTTCTTTAGTTGGATGAGCACCACCTGATAACAATAGAAAAAATATGTATACTTTAATACATTTTTGAATACTCAGGTAATAAGATTAATGACAAATTCAAAACTATAATTTCTACTTACTCATTTTCACTTCCCTGGATATTTTTGTCCAAAACTAGAGGACTTAAACCTCTTTCCATATACTGATGCAATATGGTTCCTCATGTTACGAAAATAAATTGAGGCACACTTATTAATGAGCAAATACTTTAGAAACCAAAAGGGACACTCTATAATTATATGAGCAAGACATATATAAACACAAGAAAAAAACAATCAGCCAAAAAAATTCAATATTAAAACGTGACAAAACAGCAAGCAAATATCATCAATTTAAATCTGAAGCAGTAGTCTTTAATGTGTCCCTAGTTGTTAAACAAGAAATGGCTTAGCTATTTTCTATTTTAATTAGAATCAAGCTTATATTGTATCCTAAAAATCAAACTCGTCCTCCGATTCAAACTTCTCTTCTGATTCAATTTCAAGTTGTGCAAGAAATCCTTCTAGAGGCACATCAACAATGGTTGCTCAAATCATTCCTTACTAAGACAACTTCATCATTATCATGGGGCATAGATGGGCCCACCAAATGTTCATACGGCTCATTTTCATAACAGTGTGGGGCATTAGATTCAATTTGGTCACTTATGCTAAACAAATCTCTCGGACAGTCTTCATAACATATTGTTTATCTTGATGATATGGATCTTGCACGTAGAAGCATTGGTGTGCTTGTGATGCTAGAATAAAAGGCTCCTCTTGATAGCATTTGTTGTTGAAGTAGACATAAGTAAGGCCATAAATATCTTCTTCAACCTCATACCAACCACACTTAATTAAGACAACCTTAAAATATCCATAATAATCTAACTCAACTATATCAACTATTCTGCCATAATAAGTCAAATTCGCATTAACCGTATTTTTATCCTTTGCACTTGCGAAGCTTGTTGTTAGGGCAACTAATGTAACACCACTATTTTGCATTTTACGCCTTGCATCATGTTGCCTCGTATGGAATCTATATCCATTAATGAGATATCCAGAATATCTTTTAGCAACTGAATTTGGTCTTATGGATAATTGTTTTATCAAATCGGGCACATCCTCATACAACACACAAGTTTCAAACCATTGAGAGAAATTTTGACTATAATTTTTGGTCTTGTTCCATGTAGATCCTCGCTTCTGATTATTAACCTCCACCTCATGCTCTCTGTAGAACAAGAATTTTTATTTGTTAGAAAAAAATTAAGAATTATCTACATAAAAGGAAATACTACAAGTGAATAAAGTTACCTAATATATTCTTGAACTTCATCACAATTATTCAATACATATGCATGCGCCTGACTTAATGACCTGCCATCTAAAACAATCGGATCACTCTTTTTATCTCCTAAAGTACAACCTCTGTTAGGAAATAAACTGAAAGTTTGTGCTCAGAACCACATTCATCATTGTTTTGGGTTCTTTTATTAAATCTGGTCTGTACACCTCTATGCAAGTATCTAGAGCACAAAGTTAAACACTCTTCAACCAAATATTCCTCAGCAATAGATCCCTCGGGATGATTTTTGTTGCAAACATATGATTTTAACATACACATATACCTTTCAGGAGGATACATCCATCGATTCTGAACTGGACCTCCTAATCTTACTTCGTTCACCAAATAAATAGACAAATGAATCATTATATCAAAAAATATTGGAGGAAAAATTCGCTCAAATTGATTCAAAGTTTCTTTAATCTCTATCTCCAAACAATGTAGCTCTTCCAGTGTGATAACCTTTTGAAATAGACAGCGGAAGAAGGAACTTAGACGAATCAAAGGAATAGCATCATGATCAGGAAGTATGCTTTTAATTGGTATTGGCAACAAATAATGCAACATAAAATGGGCATCATGGGTCTTATAACCAGATAATTTTTTTTCGTCTAGTTGCACACACCTAGATATATTAGAAGCACTACCATCATGTAGCTTTGTTGTCTTTAGAACACTACAAAAAACTGATTTCTCTCCATTAACCATTGAGAAGCACGCTTTTGCATACTTTATTCTCTTGCCATCCTTTATATCTTTAGGTTGAAAGTTCTTTCTAATGCTCATCTCTTTTAGATCATAACGAGCATTTGCATGATCTTTTGTCTTTCCAGGAATATCCAAAAGAGTTGCAATTATGTTATCAACTATGTTTTTCTCTATGTGCATTACGTCAAGATTGTGACGTAACTAATTGTGTTGCCAATAAGGTAACTCGAAAAAATTGACTTTTTTTCCATGGGCCATCATTTGTTCTCTTCAACTTCTTCCCAAACACATTGTTAATATTTTGTATGCTATTAAGCACATCCGTTCCATTTAGTAAAGGCGGAGGAGGCCTAAATTCTATCTTCCCATTAAAAGACCTTTTGTTGGATCTCCATGGATGATTCATGGGTAGAAAAATACGATGATTCATATAACACATTTTTCGACTATGTTTAAGATAGAGAGAATTAGTACCATAGTTACAACAAGGGCAAGCCATCTTTCCTTTTGTACTCCAACCAGATAACATAGCATATGCAGGGAAGTCACTGATGGTCCACAAAAGAGCTGCTCGTATTTGAAATGTTTGATTTCTTGAAGCATCATATGTTTCCACCCCGGACTCCCACAACACATTCAACTCTTCTATTAATGGTTGTAAATAAATATCAATGTCATTGCCAGGTGATCGTGGCCCAGGTATAAGAAAAGAAAGCATATAGTATTCTGGCTTCATACACATCCAAGGAGGCAAATTATATACCATTAAGATAACTGGTCATGTGCTATGAGATATGCTCATGGTCCAAAATGGATTGAACCCATCACTTTCCAAGCCAAGTTCAAATTGCGAGAATCTCTTGCGAAATCTAGATGAAAGCTATCAAAGTCTTTCCATGCTTGTCCATTAGCAGGATGCCTTAACTTTCCGTCTTTAGAGCGCTCCTCATTATGCCACCTCAATGTATCTGCTGTCTTTGAGCACATGAATAGCCTTTTGAGTCTAGGAATTAATGGAAAGTGTCTCAAAGTTTTTGCTGGAACACGATGAGCTTTTTTAGAAGGCTCAATCTCGCTATCTATTTCAGGATATTTAATATATCTGGAAGCTCCACAAACATGAAAATATTCATCAGCCTTATGTTCATTCCTAAATAGCATGCAATAATTGGGACATGCATCAATTTTTTCATAATCAAGACCGAGATCCTTTACCATAGACTTGGCATTATTGTAGGATATAGGAATACTCAACTCGGGCATCGCCTCTTTCAATAACTCTAAAAGAGAAATGAATGATGCATTGCTCCATCCATGTAGACACTTCAACAAATATAGATGGATTGTAAATGATAATCTAGAGAATCCTTTATAACCAGGATATAGTTCTTGTCTTGCCTCATCAACTAAGTTATAGAATTTATTGGCATCCTCATTTGGACCTTCGTAAAGTCCTTCAGCTTGCGCAACATCTCTAAATCGATCATTCAATAACCCATTAATATCATTATATGAGTTATTTTCATCATCCATGTCACCATCAATATTTATTGGAATTTTCCATTCACCATGATTAATCCATCTTGTATATCCTCGTACAAATCCATAGCATATAAGATGATCAAACACTACATTTTTTTTGAGTCCAACGAATATTGCAACACTTTGCACATGGACATTGAATTTCCTCACCTTGAGGATCACCATAAGAGTAAGCAAATTCTAAGAAAGATTGAACACCATTAATATACTCTTCGCTACACCTTGGTAAATCCATCCAATCCTTGGATGGAACATTTGAAATCTTAAAAATTAGACATTGATATTAGATCATCAAATATATAATGATTTGAGTATTAAATAAACTTTACGAATAAATTCAAAAAGTCATGAGTAAATTTTCAAAATTATGTATTGTATGATGATAAGAATTTCTTACCTAGTCATGACAGTTATGCTAAGTTAAACCTAACTTCAAGTACAGATCTTCCTGTGCGTTGACTTATGTTCTTGGTGAAAAGAAGTAAAATTAATATGATCCACATAGTAAAAAGATAAATGAACAAAATATTTTTTTGGTAGGGAGTTTCAACTAAGTACATACTTATTAGTGCAAAACTCGC